AATTTGTATTTTTATACATTTATATATAATTTCTAATTATTATTAAATTTTTTAATTTTAGTAATATTAATATTTATAAAGCTACAGTAATTGATAGAATGCATCATTTAGATTTGAGATTATATAACTAACTATCAAATTACTTATACTTGTGATTTTTTAAAATCCAAATATGGATATTTAATATTGAATAAAATAGATCATAGATTAGCAAATATTCCAAGACATTCTGAATTAAAAATATTTAAAAATAAAATACAAACTGCTAATACAGCAAATGAATATCGTAATCTTATAAAATTATAATATTTGTTTTAGATGATTTGACAGAAGATAAGGATTTAAAAAAAACATTAATAAAAGTTTATAAAGACTGGAATAATATATATCTTATAAGTAGATATGAAGAGTTTAGTGAAAAAGATTTAGAAAATTTTGAGGTAATTTTATTATTTTTAAATAAATTGAATTTTTAATAAATTAAAATTTTTAATATTAATTTTTATTTAGATTTTAATAAAAAGTTAGGCAAAAAAATTTGTTAAAAATTTTCAAGAATTTTCTTTATCAGGACTTAAATTTTCAAAATTACATTTATGGGTTTATCATATAATAGATTTAATTAAAAAGTATGAATCTTTGAATGGATTTTCTACTGAAACATATGAAAGTCTTCATAAAGATTTTGTCAAATTACCTTATTATTTAACCAATAAAAAAGATATAGAAATTCAAATATTAAAAATAGTAAGTATTTAATTTTATAATATTTGTAATATTTAAATTTTAATAAAACTCTTTCTGGTTCATCTCTAAAAATCAAAATTTTGAGTAAACAAAAGTAATCAAACTAACATAGCTTGATATTTTGTTAAATAAATAATACATTGGGTCCTCCAGAACAAAGAACAAACTAATACCACATAGTACTACAATCTTCAAAACTCAAGGAACTGTGTTTTCTCCACTTCTCAGACTTTTGAGCCTTTTTTTACCTTTAACAGACACTATACCCTAACTATGGATACACACACCTCAACTTTCAACCAGTCTTTACACTCTTCTAATTAAATACTTAACAACTCCCTCCCGCAAAAAGAAGCAGACAAAATGACCTCAACAATACAGTTACTCAAATGGACTACTCTTTGACTACTCCTTTTTCAACCGCTTATACAACACAATCACAACAAAGTGGGCAAAACACCATATCCCTAGAAAACAACAAACCGACCCGGGCCTCTGTGCCTGTCCCAACTAGTGTGGAAAGAACTACAGAAATTTCCACGCTAATCATCACAACAAACACCATCCCCAATTTGGTACAACAACCTATCTCGGCATCCAATTTACAACCTTCTGATCTCCCGGGGCTTTCCGGACCTGAGAATACATTTACAACTGAGCCCAACTCATTAACAGCTGACAACCTAGCTCTCTTACCTGACTCTACTACCAACTCCCACCAAGATCTACCCATGGACACTCACTCAAATGCTACAATTGAATCCTTACCAAAAACAAAAAAATCTTATGCTACTGTACTCACGGGTAACCAAAAACTTAAATCTAAACAAAAATTTTCAGGCCACCGAGACTTTAAATAGTGTACCTCAGTCCTTAAAGATCTTGCAATACAACGTACCGATGAATTTGACAAACTTAAATGGCACAATAACTACATTATCTCTGTATTCGAAGATATTACTAAACTTGAAAAATTTTTTGTTCACAAAATAATTTCCATTTCTACTTCCTACAATCTACCTTCTGCAATTCATCCACTTGGATACCGCCTTCTTTAAATCCTTTATTTGCAATACTTCTACCCAACCTCAACACCAGAAAGAATTCGAAACTCTCTTACAAATCGCAACTGAAAGATACAAATGTTGCCATAATGCTTGCTATATCAACAAAATCAATCAGGACCAACTTTTCCAAAAACTCAAGGCAAAACTTGCACTTGACTTCTTAAGTAACTTGGACTTCATGTTGAAAAGTCCTCACGATATTACAAGATATATTATCTACCTGTTAAATTTCACAAAAATCACTATGCACTTTGACTTTGAAAAAATTAGAACTACTTTAATCTTCGCTCATATACCCTTCTAAAAACCTTACCTTTCTCTCCACGTGGCATCACTGATAATATTCTTCAGATTCTTTCATTTAAACTACCTATTACTGACTGCAGTGATACCAGAGTGGTCATTCTCGCTTTGCAGAAAATATACACATTCGAAAAACTGCACAATAGCTACTTCGAAACCCAACTACTACCTCTTCCTGTCCACCCCTCTAAACTTAATCCTGAAATATGTGATTTATTTCCCATCACCGAACTATCAAAGCTTGCATATCTAGCTCTCTATCGTCAAAAACTATCCAAATATTACATCGTGGACGAAAAAATTTCACCACCCTACTTCAATCTAATATCACAAAAACCCTGTTTACCTAGTACACCACAAAATTTAAATTCAGCTACCTGTTATCTATTCCCTTGTAAACCAAAGACTCCACAGAATTCCACTATTTCGTTGAGGTTCTTTGCCAACACTATAGTTTTAAACATGTCCCCTCTGACTTTTCGTGCAAAAACAGCCTTTTTCTCAAAATCCAATACAAGTAGCTATTTCGAAAAAATACTCTTTTCCTATCAATGACCCAATGCTAGCAAAAGAGTTTCTGGCAGCTATGCAAAACAAATATCGCTTTACTTTATCTCTTCCTGAGCAATACATGACAGTCAACCCCACAAACAAACCAGAACTACTCTTGATCACTAATGAGATAAAGCTAATCAATATTACCACACCTATTACAAGCCCCAGAGTCCTAGTTGAAACTATTGTTACAGAGTAGTAGCCTTCTTAATTTACTCTATAATGACGACACGGCACAGGGAATCTTTTCGTAGATATATGCGGTGTCCAAGAGGTAAATATAGCTTCTTTTCTCTTAAAGAAACTATACCCTTCTCTAAGGCAGTTCGTGGAGAAATACAATAACAATAATAACTTATTAACACAAGAAAGAGATAAACCTGGCCTGTAGAAATTACCCTAGAGGGGGGAATATCTAAACAGTTTATAGTCAAAGAGTCATTTATTAAGTATAAAGAATACAAGGCTATCCTTAGGTATCTATTTCTAAAGAATCCTATATATTGTTTACAAGAATAAAGGGAAGAGAGGTGTCTGTTGCTTATTCTAACTTGGGGAAATTGGTGGAGTTTATATATCTGTGAGCTAAGCGACTAAGCGACTGAG